TACATGCATTACCATTCTGCCCTAAGCTAGAGGGTTTCATCTGCATTCCATAATTTAATAAAACAAATGCTTTGCCTGACCACAACAGCTCCTGTGTTTGGTCCATTTTTGACAGATAAATGGAAATCACTGCATTCCTCCAACAAGCAAAACCCCCTTTTGTCCACAGAGCTCCTTACTGACACAGGCCCCTGCCTACTGAGCCCGCTCTCCAGGGCGCTGCAGGCACCCTGCAAGGGCGAGCAGGATGCAGCCCTCCCAGTTTCTTGCCCCCTGAAGTGCATGCCTCTTCTTGCACTGCACCACTTGGGAATCTGTGAGGATCTATGCTGCAGCCCCTAACGACCTGTGCAGATGTGATTAACTGCGGTAGGCTTGCTTTATAATCTCAAAGCAGTGGGTGCAACACCCTGGTCTCTCTTCAGCATGCCTTTATTTTCCACTCCTGACATGATATGCTTTGACACTTTATCATCTTGAGGGCACCTGGCATTGTCCAGCCAGGTTTCCCATTAGACTTTAGAGCACCAAAACAGGCAGAAAAGCCAGGATGATAACAAACCACAACAAAAGCATTATTCCTGAGGAACTCACATGAGGGTGGGAGAGGGACTCGCATTCACTGAAAAAACAACAAAAAAATCTCCTCTACTAACCTGGTTCTCTCTTTTTTCTTTCCTTCACTCTTCTTTGAGGTAAAGACTGCACTCTGAAAACTGAACAGTCCCATGCAATTCCAGTGTCAATGCTTTTTACCATCTTCAGAAAGTGACAACTCCACCTTTAGTTAAAGGCCACCCCTGCACGAGAGTGGGGAGTCAAGCTTTGTTCTGGCTGATACTCCTTTACACATCAGGCAGACCTTCTTGCATTTGGAGTTTCATTTGTTGGCTAATGTGCCTGGGCAAATTCCAGACTGATACTTCTCACAAGGGATTTAAAAGGGCCTCCCATGTGTAATCAACTCTCTCGCCTCTAAAAACTGATATTGAAAATCCTGAGGAAGAAAAACAAAACAAAATCCCCAGAGACCTCCTGTGGACTATTTCATACCTCAGGCTTGAAAATAATTGGGCCAACTGAGAAGAATTTTGTTTCTTTTTTAAATGGAGATTTTACTCCACCTGATCCAGCTGAGACCACTTTAATGTGACTGCAAGTCTTCCCAAAATGTACTTTAAAATGGAAATGCTGAAAGATCCTCTGCACCAAAAGCATCTTTACATCCCTCCCACACCTTCTTCTGGGGTTTTTTTTTGTGAAATGAAAAATCAAAATACCTTTCAACAGAGAGAACTGCAATGAAGTATCAGGAAAGCCTGGAGACCCACTTTAAAAAACAAAATTTAAGTAGTTCTGGCAATTTTATTTTAGGAACCTAAAAGAGCAATTCCTCGAGTCCCATGAAAAAGGAGGTATAAAAGCATATACAGTCATGCCTGTACTCTGATATTGGAAAGCACAAGCAATTAAGCAAAAGGCAGAATACAACAGAACCCATGCAGTTTAGTTTCTGACACCCCTCGCACTTTTTTTTGGGCTGCAAACCTTGAAGCCTGCCACATTTCAGGAAGCAGAAAGCTAGGGAAAACGAGAAGTCCCTCAAAGCACAAGGGACACCTGCAGTCCAGGCAAGTGGATTCCAAAGTGCCCAGATTTGAAAGCACAGACAGAAGCTCTAAGGCTGTTTTAGCTGTATGTATGACTCCTTCAAACAAAACAAAAAACCCCAAACCCCAACCAGTGTTCCAACAGTGAGGTCTCATTTGGTGTTGACAGATTTGACAAGTAGTATCACTTAATGCTGGTAAGTAAGATCTACTTAAGTGTCTCTTGGTCTAAGAAGGAGATTAAGTCAGTCTTTACGTATGCCTTCATTCCAAACCTTCCCACATTTTCTCCCCTTTGAAATGCTGTAGCAGATTTTACACCTCATGTGGAAGAAGTGCAAATAATTACTTCAGTTAGGCAATACGGGCTCAAGCAAAAGTCCTGTCTATTCCCAGAGGGAGTAAGTTTATACTGGAGAGGTATGCGCATTCTTGCATTCAGAGACACAAAACTGTGACATTTCCTAAGGAGACAATTGCACAGAACACTTTCTGCCACGCATTCAGTATTTGAATATGAAGGCAGCATAGTCTGCAAAAAGCACTTTTAACTGGCAACCTCACAAGAATGACAGCACTGGGCAAGGCAAAAAAATCCCAGTATCCCATTTTCAGCAGCTGGCACTCAGTGTTAGAAAACACAATGTGAGCAAAGGAATACTAAGCGCCCTTCCCTCCTCGCTTCTGGCAATCGCAGAGTCAGGCCTTGCTGAGTTACAGCAGTAAAGCCATGATGCGCTTCTAGAAAAGGCCTATGCTTTGATCCCTTGTTTCTTTCCAAAAAGTGACCTAAGATGAAAAGTGTCTTCTTCCTTCTAGAGTTTTCACTGCTCAATAAAACTGCCATTTATTCATCTGCCTCGTTCCTAAGAGTCTTTAGATATTAAATAAAGGTTGGGACCTCTGTTAGCATAAAACAGCTTTGCCCTATCAACCTAAGAGAAAATGGCCCAATTTCCTTACCGCAAAAACCTACACTAAAATTTTTGCCAGCTAGGTTGACAAAAAAAGCTCATTAGGTAGTTCAATGTCTAGGCTCTACCTCTCCTGATCTTCAGATACCTACATTCATAACTTAGGAGTCAAACTTTGGAGACTTTTCTGACTGTTCATATTTGGTCTTTACTTACTGGGAATGTAGCTGACTGCTTCAGCTGTGCTCTTAACTGAATTTTCTTCCCTGGATTACCTCCAGATAGTCCTTGAAAATGGGTAGGTCATAGGACAGGTATTGTTTATAGGGAAAACAGGATATTTGCAGATTATTTACATGTTGCATAGGAAGGTTTCGTTGTGGAGCTACATAAGAAAATAAAGAAATGGTAAAGCTTATCAGGCTGTCAAGCCACTTGCTCTGTTCCTTCTCCCATTAAATAGCCATTTCTGGAGAGCAATGAGATTGGGGTTCAAGGCATTTGCATCAAAGCAAGTGTGGGGCTGCCATGTTAAGTCACAATGGCTGATTACCACCTGGGAAGCTTTTTGAAGATGACATCCCAGACCTCTTTCCAAACCTGATCATTTCTGAAATACAGCACAGAGAGGAAACCCAAAGCATTGATTGCTAGTTTGCACACAGGAAAGAAAACCTTAGTTTTTTCCCTGCTTGTTACCATCACTTCATTCCACAGCTTTCTGACAGTCCCACGTCAGCTGCAGATTTTCAAACAGACCTAACTTTCAGGTCTGAAGTTAATTAAACAAGTCATTTGGTGCACATTTTGTATACGGGTATTTCCAGGACTGGAGCCCTTATAACCTTAATTAAAGAGAGGATTGTAGTCTCAGTAAACAGTTTCGTCTTTAAAAAGAACTTAAAAAAAACCCCACTACTACAAAGACAAAATGTCTGTTTACCCAGGAGAAACTTTCTTGGTTAGTGAAGACTGAGATATCATTTTCCAAGCAGCCACTGAATGCCACACATCTAGGTTTGGATGTAGGATCTGGATTGGAATTCTGGCTGCTTAGCTGTACTGCAAATCCAGTTTCGCAGTCTGGAGGCATCAGAGTAGTAGGCGCTGCTGTGAAGCATAGGCATTTTCAAAAGTTTCCTTACAGCTATTAAAATAATAGAAAAGGAACAGATATTTCATCTCACCTAACCTAGAAATAATAATTCTATCCCTGGAAGAAAGATATGAGGAAGGAATAATTTCTCTCTAACAATTCTTTCCCAGGTCTTGCCTCATATGAACAAAACATAGGAAAATATTCCTGTAATTTGCTGACAAGATGCAAATACATTTTTGCCAGTGAGCAAAGAGAACTCGACCCAAAAAATTAACTAATAAAATAAATTCCCTTCTTTTAAGGCATAAGGAAGTCTTTGTAAGTTTTGGAATATAACCCCTCACGTAAGCTCTGAAAACTGTCTCTCCATACAATCTTGTCCTTGTTGAACAAGTATTGAGATCAAGTGACACAAAAGGCTTTCCTCATCTCGTACATCAGCCTTTGTGGACCACAGAAGACTGCTGGTAATCCAATGTTATACAACTTAGCCTTTCATTTATTCTGTACGGAAACACAATGTGCCTTTACCGGATAGGGAGAAAAGCAGGCTGTGGACAGATTTTTCAAGTCTTTCTGGCAAGAATACTCTGGCTTCCCAAAAAATAGTTTAAGTCAGTACCCGGGAGAAGTAAAGCAGTGCCTCAACCATTCCATGCACAGAAGATAGGTCTTCAAACAGATGAACAAAGCTGAATACGCTGAAGCATGAAGGACTGCTCTGAACTCAGAGTGAATTCCTCCACTACCTCCTTTAGCGCAAGTCACTTCATGCTCTATTCCCAGCAGCTATGTCTTAGCAGAAGCAGCATCTTCAGCAATACCATGAATTATAAGTGGTTTCATCGTCCTTTGCCTGATTCCACCAGAGACCGAGTGCAGCAATTCACTACTGGCAACGAAGGGTGCTGGCCATAAGCCAGCTGCTTCAGTGGAAAAAACCCCACATTTTCTTGGCAGCCATACTGGTTTCCAGACAAAGGGTGTGATCACAACCGCCATATGCCTTTCACAATGAGCAGCACCATTGCTGTAGAGGAAACAGACTAGCGAACAAAGCCAGCAGACTTGCGCCGGACAAGCAGGCAGAGACACCTCCACACCACTGCCTGCTAGTCCCGTTCCAGTCTGCAGCCCACAGCAGATACAGTGTCCGAGGTGTTTACTGAAGACTCGAGAGCTTTGCCACATTATGGCATACACGATACACAAAATGTTATATTACCACACTCACAAACTCACCTTTAAAAGCAGGAAACGGGTCCTTCACGCACCAGGCTTACTCAACTTGGAAGCCCTAATACTGGTGTAACAAACATCTGTGGTTAAGTACCACCACCCTACTGAATCACTTTAGGCACGTGAATCAAAACTTACACAGTGTGTGCTGGAGATGATGACAGAGCTAGAGATGAAGCTCAGACCATCATTCATACTGACTTGGAGAGCTGCCTCCCTGAAAAAAAACCAAAGAAGCAAGTCAGGCCAGCTAGTCCACAATCCGCTACTAGGTAATATCCTCTGGAACCTGGGCTCCTGATGCAGAGAAAAGCCTTTTGTACAGGTTAATTCACCCTGCTGGTGCTCCCTCCCCTGTGCTCCAGTGTACAACTGCCAGTTAACCAAACAAGCACAGGAGACAATGTCAGAACGAGATGCACGTAAGAACAACAGAATATAGTGAGATGATGCAGACTCATTTTCCCACAGGCAAAGTAAATATTTGAGTACAGAGAAAAAACATACATGCCAACTTCTCGTAGCACAGGTGCTGGGCAGAGTAAGTAGGTATCTTCCACAACAAAAGGCTTCTCATCTGGAAAAAAAGAAATACTGGGATTTATTATCTGGTCAGCAAGACAGGCCTTAAAGACCAAGCTTAAATAATGTTTTTCCTCGCTCTTGATACATAAACAAGATCAAACACTGTATGAGGGATAAAAAGCTACTGCACAGCAGTTGTTCCAAGGTAACTGTAGGCATGCTTTCAGCCCATGGAGTTACAGAGTAAATACAAGGTAACAGCAGATACCCTGCACCTCAGGAAAAAAAAGAAAAAATTAACACCTTGCATTTACCACCCCCAAGAATGATGGGGAAATGTGGCAGCTGACCCTCCTCCCTCATTTCTTTGCAGAGCCCTCGTGAAAACTGTCTTGTTGTCAGGCTGCCACAGCTCTGTCATTCTCACTGTGAAACACCGTTCCACAAAGCCCTTTGTGCCATTGCTCCTACGAAAGGGCTGAGGACTACCTGCCCCTGCAGAGCCAAATGCCTCAGGGCAATCGGAAGCCCTGCGCCGCCTGTCACCCACACCTTGTACGCAGCACCCTCACCATTCCTACAGCTGCTCCATGCTGTTGAAATTTATCATGCCACATATCCAAGCCACAACAAAACTGAAGATACAAAGCTTTTTGAGTGGTCAGAGTAACTTATCACAGCCATGCTGTACAGGAGACCAGATGGAGTTGCAACAGATTACATGTAATTGAAAATAGCTGGGTTAAGAAAATTGTACATTATGGAAAATTTTGCACTTCAAGGCAGACTCGTCTGAATCTAAATTAAACCTTCCAACCTAAATTATACTATGGTTTTAAAAGTGCAGTGAGAAAAATTATCAATAGGCAATTGCCTGGGAAACATGAACATCAGCAAATACTCTTTTGTAAACTTAAATCAGAACTTTATACCGCCTCTCTGGTGACCAGAGATATGGGGATCCCAAGGAACTTCCCAGCCCATTTGCCAGCTGACTAGAGATTGGGCAGGTTGGCAGAAAACCAGGCAGATGGGCTGGATGGTTTTTGGACCGGAAACCACACATTCCCGCAGAAGGGGTTGATTCTGCTGAATCAGCATTTTCCAGAAGCACATCACTGCATCAGAACGCTTTCTACCAGCTGTACTTGTAACCATCTCTGGCCTTCGACAGAGATGCTTACAGACCTGAAATGAGCTGTTACCAACCAATTATTACCAGCTTCCTAAAATTTTCCAGTTAGAATTTTCATTTTGTTTGAAAGCCCCTCCTCTTCTGATAGATTCCTTCCCCTTCTCCTCTCAAATCTCAAGGTTTCAAATCTCACCTTCAGTCCAAATCTTGAATCTTATGTCTGTATACTGCAGGGTGGAAGAGACCTTCATTCTGTGGCACCACGTTGAAACGGGAGTACAATTCATCACCACCTTGCTTTGCTATTTGAAATACAGACAGCAAACCTGTGGTCTCTAAATATCTAAAGTCTCTTCACAACTGCATAGTGCGCTTAACTTCCCAGGGTACACGTAAGACTGGCAATGTGGAAGCAAGGTTACAGTGTTCAGTGCATTGCTGACAGAAAGAGGGAATGGGAAGGAGCAAGGATGAAAGTTTAACCAAATCGTTTAGCAATCTAATGAAGAGCTGAGCTATTCTGACTGGTCTTCTGTTTTTGAGGAAACTTGTGCAAGTTACAGTTCCATTTAAAGTGCCAGTGGAAAGAGGAAAAGCCATGAAGAGACACAAGCCAAAGAGAATGTGGCAACCTTCTCTAAAGTAATTTCTGCATCAGCTGTGAGTCTTGTTCGTTCTTCACTTGGCTGCCGAGATAGATTTGTTCACATGGATGGTATCTAATAATGATCAGGGCAACAGCAGCAGAGCACTATTGATCCTGGCCCCATTCTCAGCCGTTAGCTCAGCAGAGTTCACTCAGAAGCAGGGTCACGCAGAACATTTTACGGGAGTGGATGAGGCATAAAGATAAAAGATACGGACTGCAAGAGCTTGTCACCTCATGCAGAAGCAAGACTCACCAAGTCAAGCATTCTTTCTCAGGCATTCCTAAAAGAGAGGTTTCCACTGAATACAAAATTTTAGAAAGCAGTAATATTGCTCTAGTAATTCCTATCACACATTATAATCCCTATTTCATACCAGCATATTTCTTTGCTTTGGCAGCAATATAAAAGATTATTTCCTCAGGCAGGTTAGGAAATGTTTATTTTTTATGCTCCATTAAAAAACATGAAATGGTAATGAAAAGTTGTAGCCTTCTCTGAAGTTTTTCTTACGTTTCCAGCTTCCAGGAAATCCCATGCCTACATGTACACACTTGAATTTTCGGGTTACCCATAGCAGTTATTTTGTTAAGGACTATTTGACACAGGCAAACAGCTAAAAGTGAAGCATTTTAGCCAGCCACATGGTTTTCACAGACAGGCTTCATTTCTGCATCGTGGCTCACCTACTGAGAGCAGTCTTCAATTCAAGCTCCTGTGACCTCTTTAGATCCCTGCTCCTGCTGTTGGCCTGGAAAGCACCGTATTATCGCTGTTTTCCCACAGCCTCAGTGCAAGAACACATACGAACATTTCCACTGTGCTAAACATTAGGAGCAGATGTTTTCAGCACCGAGTTTTCCTTTGCTAGCCCCATACTATCTAGAAGATTACTTCCTTATTAAAACAGAGGCAGATAGACAACAGGCATTTAAAGCATGCAGTGTAGTGATACAATGCACATCCCTCACTTCCGATCGCCTACAGCACAGGCACTGGATTTATGGTGAGCTTGCATCATATACAGGCACTCAGTTTTGCAATGGAGTTACCGAATCAAACTAGCAGCATTTCCCACTTTCCACAAGCAAGGAAGATGCATGGTGGTGGTGAATCTGGCCCTACGGTTCTGTTCTCACCCTGATTTATGAAGATATCATTAACTCCCATAAATTTATGGCATTGTCCCAGCGCACACATGCCAGGAAAATGAAGACCAATGTCTTGTTTTCTCCTTTGCTAACGCTGGCAGCAAAAGCCAAAGCATTCTCCATGCCAGCATTCACTAAAACAAAAGCTGGCTTAATTTTGCAAGGCCTTTTACTTAGATCTCATTAGCTTTTTTTTGTTTCTCTTTCTCTCCCTTCCCACCCCCACCTTGCATTAAAGTCTATGCCTCTCTAGAAAGTTTATCAGACTCAGAGTCCCAAGCAGGGACTCATGGCTGGCCAGGCTGGCTACAGGGAGATATTATTTTGTTTGGAGAATGTTTGTGTTTCACCACAAAAATGAGTGACTATTTTCTTTTGCTCTAAACAAAAGAGGATCCATTTGGTTTGCATAACTCTGGCCATCTGACTCCTTCCTGGAAAACTTACATAGGGAAACCAAACAAAACAACACTTCTCATCCGCTATTGCATCTCTATCTGCAGGATGCATTTGAAAGAACGCCGCTTTCCTCGTCTGCTACAGAAAAAACTTGCTATATTCCTGTGCAGTAAGAGAAGGGCCTGAACGCTCCCAAACTCTAGATCTCGTGCCAAAAATCTGAATTTTGTGGTTTGGACTCCTCTCAGCTGACAACACTAGTGGAAGAGCTGTGGAAGGCAGGGGGTGGAGTGCTCGACTCGATGTCGCTGACTATGCTGCCCAGAAAATGATTTCTGTTCTCAGCTCGGCCGCTAGCCGGCCGTGTAACCATGAAGAAATCACTTTGCCTCCTTTGCCAATTTTATAGAAAGGACACCCAGGCCCTGATCGCATCTCGGGCACCAATCAAGGGCAGAGCTTGGTCATCTTCAGGAAATATTGCAATGCCTCACTTTTGAGAAAGTCTGCCCACAGTAATGGGCACAATTTGCTCCTTACCTATGCACCTCTGATCACTCCATCAATCAAAATAAGGTTCTCTCTGTATAAAAACCCCACACAGGACACCGCACTCACAGGCAACTAAAACTAGTCAGTCCCAAGGCATAAGCCATTCAGAGCAGTGTGCAGAAATGGAGAAGGGTCAAACACCTCACAAACACACATCTGTTTTCTGTGGATGCCCTTTCAACAAGGTACTTTCTACTGCTCAAATTCCTATAATTCGCTACCCAGCATTCCTACACCTTTTAACAACTATCTGCAGCCTGTAAAATCTATTATTCCCAGCATTAGTGAATAGTTTCTTTTGCCATTAGCAGGGTGTAACCTTCTGGCAAGCCAAGACTTGGAGTACTTCCCAACCATAATAATAAAAGCCTCAATATATATGCATGATGTTTTAACACACAAGAGCAAACCTCAATAAAAGAGGTACAAAAACCCAAAGAAGGTGACCAAGACAGATTGTGGTACTTTCTTTTAGCCGTATAACCAAGATAAAATTAGCAGCCTTTTCTTTGGTTAATGGTTCATCCAAGAACCAGCTGGCATACTGAAAACAGACTGCAAAGATCCCTTACAGAAGGGTTTAAGAAAGCACAACATTTTCAAATTGCCACCGCAATATCGCAAGTGCTGATTGCTGGACTCGCAATATCAGCAATATTTTAGTCCAGAAAAGGCTGCAAAAGCTGTTAGCCAAACTTCCCATATATCACAGACTAACAATTTCCTTCTGTTATCCCTGTATTTATGATTTGTGTTCAACTAACGCACGCCTCAGAAAACGCTTTGACCTAGTCTTCTGTTACTATAGGAGAGAAGACTGGGCTCTTAGACCAGTACAGCCAGCTGGGGGTGGGAGCCTGGCTGCTCTCACATAACGCTCCCTCGGGATCACCTGCGCTGCGGCAGCTCTTCTCCTCCATACCTCAGCCCACTCGAGGCGGGTAGCCCTGAGCCATCGCGAGCCTGAGCACTTCCATTGTCCCTTTGTCACCTCAGATGAGACAAAATACCTCCACAATTCTCTGCACCGCCTACCAAAGCACAATCTCTCTTCATCCTGGCTGACGACTCCTCTTATGCCACTCCTTGTGACAACTCTGCAAGCAAAGTTTTCATTTCAGACCCGTTTTGTGGGGAGATAGGAATGTAGAAAGACACTGGAACACTC